GGCACCGAATCCCATCTCCATCTCTTACCTCTCTTACCCATAGTGAGACCTTGGGCAAATTCTGTTTCCCAGAGCACGTTTTTGCCACCTGTAAAATAGTCCCGATACCATTCCATCCCGGGATTTTTTTTTAGAAGATATGTAAAAGCTCTTGGCATAATTACTATCCCTTCACTATGATTACTTTTCCTCCTGCTCTGATCCTAGTTGGCATCTTGCTGTGCTGTTTGGAGATAAGGGATTCTTCTTGGCTACCTCACCTGAACCTCTTCACTGTCTTCTTCCTACGGGTAAGAGAGCTGTTGTGAAGTATGTAGACCTTTGTAAACTTTTCAAGTCCCTGGAACTCCTAAAGAGATGAGAGCAGATATTCTCCCAACAGACCAGAGTTCAGTTAAACCTTTTTCACGAGGTAAAAACAGTGGGGCTCCCAAGAATAGACTGTACAACTTAGGTTGAGACACACAGTTGTCTTGCGTGTGGACACTAGTGACTGGTGATTAAGTGAATTTGCCCCTGGGTCTCTTTTGCCCAAACAGCTGTAATTTCAGACTCTCGATATAGCTGGGCAGGCTTCTCTAGCTGAGGTGGTGAAAAGGTGAAAAGATTTGTTTGGAGTCCTTCTAGGTTAGGAAGGATGTGGCTTGAGTTGTTACCTTTGTCCCAGTAACATGTGAATTGCAGTGGCCTTTGTCTAGACAGAGTGGTTTGTCCTTGGTTAGATCAGGCACAGGATACTTGGCTTTCCTTCACTCTTCCTCTCAGCTTTGCTTGCCTCTTAACTTTGGATTCTTAGCTTAAATGTAGACAGCTCAGAAATGGTGTTAAGTTGCTGCTCCGTGCTTATTCCTTCCTGTGCCCTTCCTGTCTGTGAGCTTTTGTTTATTGACTACTCATGGTCAATATTCTGCTGTTCCTTGCTCAGATGTTACCAAAACAATCTTTAAGACTACCGATTTGTTTTGACTTCTCAGAAATAAGACTACTTGGTCTTCTCAGTGGCCTTTAAAGTACTGTTTCTTAATCATGACCTTGTTCTGTAAGCTCAACCAAATCTATATATTACACATGTATTACATATTACTAATATTATATTAGTTTTATATATACAGCTGAGGCTTTATCTAGCCAGTGACCTTGATTTGGAAATCCTTACAGAGTTGACCCTCACTTGCTGTGGGGCTTTAGGCAAATAATTTTAATCATACTCACTGGAACTAATTTATCTTAATCTATAAAATAAAGATTGAGTTAGATGAGAAGTTTTCTAGACCTTTCTGTGGAATTGGTTGGAGTGGGGATGGGAATGACAGTGGGGATGGGAATGACGAGACTCAGTGGGTAACCCGAGGCTCTGCATTCAGTCAAATGGTTATTTTGTTATTAAAGGCTTTTGTTATTAAGTTGGAAAAGCACTGGCCTAGATGGTCTGAGATGGCCTCCAGCCCCGGCATTGTATGATCCCTTCCAGCAGTAGCATCTACTTTTAAATCACATTAGACAAGGACACCTGAGCTATCATGTAAGTAGGCCCAAACTCATGGCCCTCAACATCATCTGTAGTCTGGTTCCTGACTGGCTGGCCATCCAAGTGCACTTGTCCCTTTGCCTCTGTTCAGACTGTTCCCAGCAGCACACGGAATATTCCTAAGCATCCTTTCCCCAGTCAGTCCTTCCCCAGTCTTCAAAAGACTGTAGTGTAAAAGCATCCTGTCTGTTCAGAAACCTTTTCTAATTAGTTGTCTGTGTCTTCCCAAGGTACCTTCTCCACTCTAATGGCACGGTACACTTTGCCTTTCTGGCAGTTCTGTGTATGTGTAATGCTCAGAGAGGGGCAGGACCTCAGTTTAATTCTAAATCCCCCCGGTGGCTAGAACTGTAACTTTCTGGCAGTGCCGTGGGCCCATGATAGAGCTCAAAAATGCTTTTCTCTTTCAGGATCGAATCATCAATTTAGTTGTTGGCAGCTTAACATCCTTGTTGATCCTAGTAAGTATGTTTATTTTGTGTCTCACCCAGGCTTTTCGCTAAAGTTTTTTGAAAGCTTCAGAACTGTGGTTCAGTTTAACACTTGGAAAAAAGACTTATAAGAGGCCAGTATGTGAACTGGGGTATTCTAGTCATTGTCTAGTATTGTTTTATTAGTGCTTTAACAAAACTGTAGTTGGCAATGGGAATACTTAGATTTCTACCCTCACCCCCCCAGCTGAAATAGCACACATGAAGGAATCCGAGTTTGCAGTGTGTTTAATAAATTTGTAACTTCTCAGTGGCACCTGCAATTCCCCTCTGTGTATCACTCACAACTCCCCATTTCTGTTAATCCCTCAAGTTTATTTTGTCCCTAAAAGCACACTCATTATCCTTTATCCCACGTAATGTAGTTTGGTGCTACTGCTGTAAAATAAAGCTATAGCTCCCAGAATCTGAAAACGGCATTTTCATTAAATCGAAGAGAATTTTAGTGAAGTTTCAATGACTTCTTAAGAAAAAGAATGAGTATAATGCTTTATCTGTGGTAGAAACAGAAGTCCAGTATATTAGAAACCTATCTCCATATTTTCCAAAATGTTCAAAAACCTTTTTGGTTTTCATTGTTGCTGGCGTATTCAAAATAACCTAATAAAGGTTAGAACTTTTCCCGGTGTAATCCTTAATCCTGGGAATGAGGTTTAAATGCTTTGTAATCTTTTTGTAAAGAGGTTATTTTGAGCTTAGCTAGTTTTATGAGCTATGATGTTTTGTCTCCTTTCATAGTAGAGGAAAAGTATAGAAAAGGAAGTACTAAAAAGAAGTTTACATATTAGAACAGATTTACAAATACTTTACTAAATATTAACATTCCAGAAGGCAAACCTGGTGGTAGATACTATTTTACAATGTTAAGTGTTTTATAATAGGACATAGTTTCTTAAACTCCAGTCTAACCAAGGCCTGACACAATTTCTTTTCATACAGGTCACGCTGATCAGTGCTTTTGTTTTCCCTCAACTACCTCCAAAACCGTTGAATATATTTTTTGCTGTCTGCATCTCTTTGAGTAGTATTACTGCCTGCATACTTGTGAGTACTATTTAGAATTTAAATTGAGTATCCTTGAGGGCTGAAGGTTGCAGTGTATACCTAGGATTGATTCCCAGCTTTGGGTCTGTAAGAAAGGGTGTATCTAGTTACCCGTCCCCACCTTGATGCAAAGGATGTCAGAAGTCTCAGTATTAGCTGACAGATTTCTTAGTTTCTAGAATCAGGAGTCATTAATTCTAAAGGGACACTGTTCCTTTGAAAGCCTGTGGGGGGCGAGGAGAGTTAAGACTTTGGGGGCCAAAGCTTTGGTTTAATTGACCTAATTCATCTTCCTTCAAGGACTGCATACAGGCCCAGCAGGATCTGGCAAATGCCATTACTGCTCTAAAGGGAAGAGATACAGCATTCCTGATTTAATTCTAATTACAGAATTAGTCTATTTTAATCTCTGTGCTTATCTCCCCAAATGAAAGTAATTAACACCAAGACTCTCCTGGGAAATCTTAAGCTATAGCTTTGTCCTTGTCCCAAGAATGTACAGTTTGACCATAAAGATGCATTTCCTCTACATAAAGAAAACAAAGATGGTGATAGATCCTCACTTAGATATTTGCCAGTTGTTTAGTCATTAATTAGTTGGCTATTTTTTATTTCCCTCAAAGAGAGGTAGAACCCAAACTATAAACCCTTTAAAGCAAGTTTTGACTCACACCTCACAAAGGGCTTAAATCACCAATGTTATGTGCTTATCTAATGCATTTCTTCCTGCTCTACTCCTTTGCTCTAAGGAAGAGTTGGCCCATGCACTTCTGGAGCTTTTGAAACAAAGCTACCAGAGATGGCTCTTCTTACTCCCAGCCTAAAGCCAGGAGTGACTAACATGATCTAGTTTTGTATAAAAACTTAGTGTATTGGCAACGTGACTCTGTAGTCAGTAAGAATGTAAATGTTGCCATCCCTTCCAGTATGTGAGCGAGCTCTGCCGTTTACTCAAATCCATTTCAGACAGACAGACGAGGTAGATATTCTCGGATGGCTTGTTAGTGATTGGATGACTGCTGGTTTGAACAGAACAAGAATAGCTGAGAAAGCAGGAACTGGTATGATCCTGGATGTGGCAACTTGGTACTACTAGAATTATAAAGAGGAAAACTGGGGCGCCTGGGTGGCTCAGTGGGTTAAAGCCTCTGCCTTCGGCACAGGTCATGATCCCAGGGTCCTGGGATCCAGCCCCGCATCGGGCTCTCTGCTTAGTGGGGAGCCTGCTTCCTCCTCTCTCTCTCTCTCTGCCTGCTCTCTGCCTACTTGTGATTTCTGTCAAATAAATAAATAAAATCTTAAAAAAAAAAAATAAAGAGGAAAACTGCATTCTGGCCACATTAGTTTCAGAAATATAGACTAATGTAAAGATGGTCTCGCTTGGGCAGGGGAGGTATATATGGATGGAATCGGTCATAGTTGAAAAGAATTAGCTGTATTTAAAAATTTTCATGCCAGGCCCAGTGGCTATTACTTAAACCGTTACTTTTTTCTTCTTTTAGATCTACTGGTATCGACAAGGAGACTTAGAACCGAAATTTAGAAATTTAATTTACTATATCTTATTTTCTATCATCATGTTATGTATATGTGCGAACCTGTACTTCCATGACGTGGGGAGGTGAGGCTGCCAAGGAGAAATGCTGACCAGGTCTCTTCAAAGCTGTACGTGAGGACTGTGAGTCAGAGCGGGGTAAGCTGTGCTGAAGAATCTCCTGCACAAGCCTGATACATGATTTTCATGTTAACTGTAAATCTTAAATTCCCTCTTGCAGGGGACACATATCCTAGATTGCTTTGCTTTTTCTTTAAGGAGGTGGTGTTGCACTAGAACATTCCAACCCTTAAAGCTCAAATGGCACAAGCAATTTTCACTTTTGAAATTGAACATTTTTATAATGTAAGTGCATGGCGAAAAGCTATGTAACAATCTTGCATTTTAAGACAAATATTCTTTTATTTCTGTTAAACTGAATATACAATTATTGTTCCCTAGGCAACCAACTTTTCCTTATAACTACAATTTCACATTAACGAAACACAGACGGTGAAAAGACAACTTTGATTGTGAAGATCTAATTACAATAATAAATAAAATAATTTATACAAGGTTTTTTTTTTTTTTCTTTTTTCTTTTTCTTTTTTTTTTTTGGGGTGACTTTTCTATAGGGGTCATGTTCATTAAAACCCTAGAGGCTAATTTTGGCTTTACCTTCTCAAATACAGGAATGACTCTTGATTTCTTTCCTTTTATAACCGAAGCAAATTTTTTTTTTTTTTTTAATTGCCTGAGAGGGAGAAGTTATGTCGCACCCCACCAGCTAATGCACTAAAGTGAAGGGCAGACTCTGATACCTTCCTCAACTGTTTCCTGGGTAATTTGTATAGCAAAACATCTAAGAGTCATAGTATAGGGTAAGCAACCTTCCTGTCCCATTTAGTTTAATTTTACTTCAAAGTGCTAACTTTGTAAACTGACAACAGTGGGTTCTGAAGGGGTGAAACCTCTACTTATCTTCTGGTGAGCTGTGTTGCTATTCTCTTCCATATGCCCTTTCTAAGTCATAAAAACCTGTAGTGAATGTTCTTAAATCTTGTAATGCTTCTTTGTGTCCCCAGCCTGAATCAGCTCCCACTGCCAGCAATGGGTAAACCAACAGTAACGGCCACAGTCCCCACCTAGGTCTCTGTATGGGATGCTGGTCACCTTTCAAACTAAGGATACTTAACATTTCGAGTGTCACCGGTAAGCTCTATGCCACATTGTCGATGGGACGTTTCTGAAATATGAACAGGACTACTTGAGACTGGATAGAGCCATGTCCAGTGTTTAGAGATGAGTATGACTGCTTTTAAAACAGAGTAGGTAAGCTTTGGTGACTGTAAACTTTTCTCAGGAGCTGAAGTGAATAAAATTCCCTGCTGACAGTTAACATGAACCACAGGGATGTATGCAGTTAACACTTCCATACTCAGTTCATCTACACACTGTCCTAAGACTAGACCTCAGATGGTATAGTTTAAGGAGGTAAAAGTCATAGCAGCAACATGTATGTGGCTTTAAGCATTGTAGCTATTTAAAAGCCAAAGGAATGGTGAATTAAGCCTCTTGGGAGTTGCTCCTATTTCTTTGGAGATGTTGTAATTAACAGTGTGGCTTCTCTGCCTGAGCTACCTGTCTCTGAAGAATTACCTAATGACAGTTGACCAAATCCTCAACATCCTTTGAGTCTTCTGAAACAGGACTGCCCAAAGATGATCCAATTATATTTGATTCTTCTCGATGATGTTGGAGTATGGGATCTGTAATGAGTTAAGTGTTCAGTAAGTTTACATGTACTCTCTAATGCATGTCAAGAAGATATAGTAAGTACCCTATCGAAGTACAAAAATCTAACAAGATGACCAATTATTGTTGGATCAAGTAGCCTGATGTTCCCCTTAAGATTTATCAGGCACATGATGGAGTTCTATTATAGTACCTGTTAGTGTTGTCAAAGGCAAGACAGATTCAGTATCTATAACATCAGATGCCTGGATGAAGCCATGTGGTGAAGGAACGATAAGAATGGTTTCATCATCGATGGTGGTTTGATCAACTTGTTCTTCTATGGTAGGAGACTCTAGACCCTAAACAGTGGCAATAAAAAACAAACAAAAGACATTCTGACTCCTATTTCTTAGTTTTCTTAAAGATTCCAAACACATTTAGCTTTAAAAGGACTTAATATTCAAACATTATCCCATTTAATAAAGAAAAGAAAATTAAAGCTGAAAAATGCACAAAACAGAACTTAATAGAAGCCTGAATGTAGAAGAAACAATGCTGTTATGCTGGAAGGTTATTAAGGAAGGTTACTAACCTGTACCACAAAGACCTACTACGAACCACTCTCCTGAAAATGGTTCCATAGGTCCCAACAAACAATTCTCAATCTTTTGGAAGGGTATGGGGGAAAAGTTTTGGTGGTAAGGCTGTGCAACACAGCTGTCTCATACTCGTGAGGTCACAGGTGGAGTCTGCATTTGATTTTGTGTCCAGAGGAAAAAGGAAGTTAATGGAGACCCCCCTCCCCCCGCCCCATAAGTTATTGCTAGGCTTTTTCCAAACTGAAGGTTTAAGGCTCAAGCAAGAAGGCTGTTCCCTTAATTGCAACTTACCTCAGTAACATAAGCACGGGCTAAGGGAGAAGACGACTCCTCTTGTTTCAGGTCGGTGTCAGAGATTTCTTCTGTTCTGACCATAACACTATTCATCAGTTCTGTGCTATTTTGGTCATTGAATTTGGATACATGAGCATCATTAAATGATGGCTCTACAGTTATCTTAGGCTGATGAATTTCATCTGGGAAAGTGTCTGCTTCTAGGGCATCTGGAGGCTCAGGAAAATCAGATGAGTGAATATCACTATCTACTGTCAGTTCTGCTTGGGATATGGAAGAAGTGATGTCCTCTGTGGCAACGGTCTGAATGATGACTCGTGGTGTGTGACATTGCACTGTGACGTTGTCACTTGTGTTCAACAAATGTTCTGGCTACAAAATGTCAAAGAAAACGATCAGTGGCAAAATGAGAACATCCCTACCAGACTTCAGTTATAAGAGACAACTATCATTTATAATTTATAGGTGGTACCCTCCTGTCCCCTCCCCTGTTCTCTTACCTCTGGAACTGCAGTGTTCTTACCACTGTTTTTCTAGGACCCCTCATCCCCATCATTCCATCTCATGGAAGGAGACACATGGGATTAAGGGTTATGCCTCAGTGAAGGCAGAATGATGGTGTAAAACTATGTTCCTGAGACAACAGTAGTAGGAGAAATTGTTTAAATACATGGACTACATTAGTTCTGGCTCTTAAATTGTTATCAATTAATCCTGGTCCCTAACATGTAGGTAAATACTTAAACAGAGAACATAATCATTTTCCCCCTAGACCTATTATTATTGAAGGCATCTGGGTTCTCTCATGGTATTAAAAACAAAAAGCTTCTGTGACCTCATAGTCTTCTCTACAGAAACTAGAAAAATTAAGGAATTGACGTAACATACGGATAAAGCGTGAACAATGATCTGTTCAGGAGAAGCAGGAGCAGCAGCTGTCAGGGTTACTGTGGGACTAGCCGTCAGAGTGAGGGGAAGGCCTTGGCTTGAGCTTGTCTGAAGTAGGTAGGTACCTGGAGTGCCAGTGGGCTGTAAATGGAAAGACTAAAGGAAAAAAAAAAATTAAGAATGACACAGGTGCAACAGACTAAGTAAATAAGCTTATTTATTAAGTCTAGGTTTATATCCAAAATGGGGTCTTTAATATACTCGGCACAAACGTACTTCCCAATCCTGAAGCTGCCCTCAAGTAATAAAATGAAGGGTATAATATTGACTTGTCCTACGTCCTTATACTTGTCTTAGAGGTTTAACAGAGAGGCAAGGCCAGACCTTGATCCTGCCCTTCACTCCCATGTATTTCTGTGGTGCTGTCTTAGCCATTTATTTCAAGGCACCAAGACATGGTAGCATAAGCCACTGTGTCCAGTGCAGTAACTCACACACAGTCTTCCTTCATGTCTGTCTAGAACATAAAGAACTGCCACTCTCCATTTTTGGAAAAGGTACTACTACAGCAGCGCTGAAAAGATTTTTTTCATAGTAAAATTTTACGAAATACTTTTTATACTAAGGAGAAATGTACAGAGATAGTAGTGTTGTGAATGACAAAAAGTATTTGATGGACAATACGTTTATCTTATATGTTTCACAGAACTGTAACAGAACTATTCAATGCCAATAAGCCCTTTACAGCCATAAGCTTCTACATTTGATAATTTGAGTTCAGTTTATCTTACTATCCTAAAGGGAAGGTATTTGCACTTAGAGGGTGATGTTGAAATCCTAGAGCCTGTGGTCCTGTGTACTGATGTTACAACAGCTCTCCTGGGACCAGCTCAATGAACCTTATTGCTAAAGTAGGCATAAATAACTATCTCAGGGAAGGGGTTGTGGGCATTACAAATTATTAGTAAATGGTGCCTGGCACACAGTAAGATTCAATTTCTTTCCTCCCTCTCCATAAAAGTAAAAGCTGATCATTTACAACACAACCTTCAGTAAATTAGATGTGGCCAGACAGTAAATACTTTATATATATGCATCTTAATTTACTTAAGTTCCTCTAATGTTCATGATTTTTTTTTGAAGCTGAGGCACTATCATCCTTTATTAATAAATAAGGATGGAAATCTTTAAATATTTGTGACCCAAGTAAGTAAAAACCTGAACACATATTCTAAATATATGTATTATATTATTTGGCCAGGGGGAAGAGAGGAGGTGGCAAAATCAAGTTATCAACCTGTGACAAAGGCTATTACACATCCCCAATGTGGAGACTACAGGATTAGGAAGCGGAAGCTTTGGTTAAGTAAACTGCTAGCAGAAATTCCAAAGTTGTTCTAAAAGAGAACCTTCAGCCACACTGGCTATCCTCATGAGATGTAACTTGTGCAGAGCATAAACTTTTGCACTAACAGCCCCGTTTTTCCACAGCAAATAAACCTTGACATAATTTAAATAAAACCTACTTTATATTTTTTTCCTGAAAAATAAGCTAATTCTGGGTATTACCATTTTAGAAAACAGGATAAGAATGAGGACTTAAAAAGTTTTTCTATGAGAAACCCCCTTTCTTCAAATTAGCAATCTTGGCCCTTTGCTACCCCAAAACCTCTTAGCATAGGCATCCATTCCTCTTTTTGTCTCTATGGATTTGTCTATTTTTGACACTTCAAATAAATGGGAATCAAACACCATGTGGTATTTTGTAGCTAGTTTCACTTAGCATAACATTTTCAAGGTTCACCCTTGGAGCATGTATTAGTACTTTCTTTTTTACTGCTGACTAATTGTATGGTGACAGCACATTTTATATACCCATTTGTCAGTGGATGGCCATTTGGGTTTCCACTTTTTGATTATTAGGAAGAGGAACATTCATGTATACGTTTACGCAGACATGTTTTCATTTCTCTTACGTAAACCTTGGATTAGAATTGGTGGCACAGATGTTAACTATACTTTTTAACCTTTCTAGGAACTTCAAGATTCTTTTGTAAAGTAGCTACACCATTTAGGACTGGGACTTTTAAATTCTGTATCCCCAAGGGCCAGTACAATAAACTTTTTGGTTATATATAGTATTTGTTTATCAATAAAAAGTCATACATGCACCCTCCTCATTAAGCCCTGTCACTTTTCCTAGGTAAAATGAGCACATTATTGGTTTAAACCTCTACAGAGGAAGAAAAAAGGGGAAGTCTTGACGGATGTCCTCATTTAATCATCTGGCCTCAGAAACATGGGCATAGTTGCACTGAATGCCAATCATGTTTTTAGTTCATTTGTTCATAAGATAACAGTGCTAAAACCAGTGGTTTTTCTTATGCATAAAATGACCGCTTTCTCTTTTGTGAAGTGTTACTCACTGGAAGAATCTCAAATGCCTGTAGTGTTCCACTGTTTAGTGTTATTGTTTCCGAGTCAACAGTAGCAGCAGGGGACTCTGTTGAAGCTGTGGTAGGAACAAAGACAACAGTAAATAAAACACGTAATAATTTGCCTAGAAACCTGAAGTCATTTAAATTTCTTATGAGAAGCAATCTTATCTGGGATGGCACCCATTAGGGGCTGGCTCAAAGCCAAATCCAGCCCATTACCAGTTTTTGTGAAAAGTATTACAGGAACACGGCCATACCTGTTTATTTTCCACAGCTGCTTTTGCACTGTAAAGGCAGAATTGACTAGCTGTTACAGAGACAGTACCTGCTAACCCTTGACAGAGATCACAAAGTATTTCTAGTATTAGAAGTGAGAGGAATACACTAAGGCTAACTTACAAGTCAACAGGAACTTAGTAAAAAATAAATTCTCCTGGACATTCTGATAAGCAGTATAGGTTCCTGGAACGGGAGTCCCCAAACACCAGGCTTCAGTTTAGCAGCATTGTTCTCGGACCATGTAAACCTGAGCCAACGGCTTGCTTTGAACTTACTAGTGTTAGTGTTCAGAGACTTTATCTGTCCTGCCTACCTCATGTAGTCCTTAGGAGGAACCACAAACATGAAATATAAATATTTCCAGGGCACCTGGGTGCCTCAGTTGGTTAAGTGTCTGCTCAGCAGGGAGTCTGCCCTTTGCAATCCACCCCCTCCCACCGCTGGTTTGTGCGCGCTTGCTCTCTCAAATCTTAAAAAAAAAAAAAACAAAAAACAAAGGTAGTGCTATTTCAGAAGAACACATTTGGAAGACTGAGCAGCACTTAGAGATCACACAGTATATTATCTCTTTACGGGTGTGTCAGTTGAGGGTTCAGACTTGAGCATTGTTGGTTACAGCAGATCAAGGTTATAAGGAATTAAGAGTAACTGGATGAAATGTGATCTCAACTGCACCTGTAGATAAATCCATGTGAAAAATGATTTGGAATCATCTTGCAATGTGTAGCGTTTATTCCTAAAATACTTCTCAGTGGGAAAGGATATGAGACACCTTTCAAAAAAATGCACTTGATTCATGTTACTATTTCTCTAGTTGATGGAATCTTAAGATCAAACCTAGAATAATTTAAAGGGATTCCAGATAAATAACCTTCATCATGGGTAAGCAAACTGGGCAGGGACAAATTGTGGCCAAAGACTAAGAATGGTTTTTACATTTTTAATTATTTTGGTTTTTACATTTTTAAAGGATTGTTTAAAAACCAGAAAATCCCACAAAGACCTATGTGGGCTGCAAAGTTTAACATATTTATATTTACTATTCTGGCTCTAAAGTTTGCGAGTCCCTGGCTCCTAACATAAAGGAAGAAACAATCATGTGAGACTTTAGCCTGAATGCAAAGAATAACTGATATGGTATAAACTCTTACTTCCTTGCTGGAAGAAATAAAATTATTCTACATATTTTAAAAAAGCCATCCTGTGAATATTAAGGTACCAGTGTCTGCATTCCCAGTAAGTACAGTCACCCCAACAGCCAAGGGAAATTCTAACAATCTCTGTGCACAATCTATAACCAACAGTAGCTCGCATATTTATGGCGGACCAGTTTTTGCAATTCTTCGGGTTATAAAGTTAAATAAGCAGAGGGCTAAAAAATTTCTTCATGCTTTATTATACTGGTAGAAAGCTAAAGCAAATAACCAAACTTAAGTTAGAATTTTAAGACAGGCATGATCATTTTAAAGGTCTCCAAGGTAACCTGGATAGTCACTGGATATATGGGTGTATGTAGTGTCACCATGACCAATAGGCAGCCCAGTGATTCTCAAAATGGTGTCATAGGGTACATTTGAAAATCCTTAGGGTGCTTTTATTTGCCATAATGATTAGGAAGTACTACTGGCATTTTGTGGGTGAGTCAAGGGACACTGAGCATCCTACAGTGTGAAGGACAGCCCTGCCAACAATCAATTATCTCACTCAAAATGCTAATAATCCCGATTGAGAATAACATACAGCAGTTGGCATACTTTTGGCAATGACCTTTCCATAGGCATAGCATTTAGGTAGACAAAAGAAACAAGAAAAAAGTGAAGAATCATCTGGTTCTGAGGATTTTATTCGCACTTCTTTTCTGTTACTCTGTCACGGAAAAAAAGGTAGAACTATCAAATCCTCTCCCTGTAACAACTGTTCGGTTCTCATAATCTCATTAAACTGAAAAAATATCAGAGGCTTTAAAAAAAAAAAAAAAAAGGATAAAATAGTTCCCAAAGGAAAACTGGCTCTTCTTGAAGAAAATCTCAATCTCCTCAAACCCCTTTCTCCTACACATGACTTCAAATCCACCCCTAATCTGTGTGTCTCTGGTTAATTATTACAAATGATGTGCCACCTTAGGAACTCTATTTCCTTGTCCAACTGATTTTAGGTAGTAGTCTATTAATCATTAATTCTTTGCAACCTCTAAAAGTAATGATTTAAAATGGTTTATTATGGCTGGGAAGTTCTGTCACACACTCATCTTTTGTGCAAATATTAATTAAGCTAATGAACATAAAATGCCTTAGACTGCCTCTGTCAACTTGCATAAATTTCTGTCAACATTCTGGAAGAATGAAAGGTATTAGAGCCATTAACAAATCATAGAGGTCCAAGAGCAAGGAGTCTCCAATAGACACTTACAGACATGAGTGATTTGGACTGGAATCTGCAAGGCTGTCATGGGGCTTGGAGAGATGGCTGTATTGTCTTCCAAGCGGGCGACTCTGATCTGAACATGCTGTACACTGGAATTGGAATTACTGTTTGGAACTCCAGATCCTGATTTATTCTCCAAAAGCGTTGGGTTGTTTTTTTGATTCTCATGTAACTGTTTAAGACCTTTTATTAAGACTGAAGGGAGATGGGTAGACAAAAAGAACATTGATTCTCCGACAGACCACCATCTAAGCAGCAGGGGAGGTGGGGGTAAGGAGGGAAAGTATTTGGAATAAATAACTGCACACTGCATGTGGGATCTCAGCAAAATAACAATAAAAATATTTTAAAGCTACAACTTGTCTGAAATTTCCGGAAACATTATCCATCACAAGAAATTTAAAAAATTCCTAACACAATGTTATTCTTGCCACCTAAGATACATTAAAAAAAAAAAAAAGCCATTGTGAGGAACATGAAAATAAGACCTTTGTTATGTCCTAGGGCTTCAGGATAAAATTCTTATTATTTGGGGAGAATACTGTTAATGCAAAGTAGCTTACTTCCTTAGTCAGCTGGCTGTGAGCTGAACTCACAACTCGAGAGAAGCAGCTTATCTTTTCCAAACAGTAATATGCAACCACCTTGAATTCTTGTGCAGGAAAGTCAAATCTAGACTTGCCCCCTCCTATCAGTCCTCTCAGGTGGTAACTGCAATATGGGTGGGTTTATGTCACATTAGTATTCATTCACTTTTCTGGTTTTAATATTAGATTTATAAATTTATAACTATGGACTTAATTTTTTAAAAATCTTATTTTCATCGAGCCAAAGTTCTTCAGTATTGTATTTTCCTTTGGAAAAATGGAAGTTGGAGCACTCTATCAAGGGGCATGAATTTGACTGCCTTAATTAAATGGACTGTACATCTTAGTTTCATACCTGAGTGCAAAGCAGGCAATGAAGGGACAAACATGCTTGTGCCTCACTTTTAAGCAAACCCAACTTAGGATGTCTAGATTTACATCATTAATGAATTATGAATTTATAGTCTTTATACTATAAAACCACCAAAGAAAATCTCTCAATGACAAACCCAGTTATGTGAAGTTATTCAACACTTAAAAGTTGATTTAAACCTAAGTTTTCAGAAATACATTTTTGTACACAATATGTAAAATCATTTTCTGCACAGTTGTATGAGAACAAGAATGTATGTAAATGTGTTTATTTTCATCTTAGGTGCTTTGAGAATTACACATCACATCAACTCTTCTCAAGGGATGGAAAGACAGTTAGCCAAAGAAATAGAGCTGTTTCAGTGAAGATCTACTAAGATTCATATCTCTTTAGCTGAGGCAAAGAACGTCTGACCTCTTAAGTCCTGAGGAGTAAATATGGTAAGACAAGGGAAGGACTTAAGAAGCAAAAAATACATTACCAGGGAACGAAACATCCTTATGATTTGCAATCTGCCTTTTGATGGTCCACCATTTACTTCGAAGCCATTGTGGTGAACGGACACTGCTCCATCCCTCCGCTAACAGATCCCAGTTGATGTCATTTTCATCAGCTACATCAAGCTCTGCTATCCTACAGGTTACAAAACAAACATCTGTTAGATGTTAATTTATTTCTCTGGAAGAACCCTCCCCTGACTACACATGATGGCACTGGCAATAAAGGGGACAGCAGCTTATGTCATGGAGATGCTACTGTTAATTGCATGGGAAAGGACTGCACCCTGAACTGCCCCCACAGCTAGGAGCTATGACCTAGCACTATCAAGAGCCTTTTGTTAATGGTACAAGGAATGGGCCAGACTGTAAATGGTCAGAAGCCAATGAAACACTGTAAAGGCAAGGGAGTAGCTAAAGGTTAGAATAGGGTAAGAGCAGTGTTAGTGGAAAAGTGTTTTGTAATGTGTTATAGTGTGCCATAGCAAGTTATTTCCTAGATTTGACCTTTTCCATATCTGTAACAAATAAAAACATTTAAAAATGAGCTATTTGCAGATGACTAGTTGAAACAAGTTTATTAAAAACAAAACCCAAAATAAAATGATAAAAACAAAAACAATACTCCAGCAGCAACCAAAACAAAAACCACTAATATAATAGTTCCACTAGATTTGGGGTATGAGTGATCGATATTTGTTCTCCAGCTTCAACTGTCATGATGATGTCGATTTTCAAGAGGGAGGAGCTTTTATTACTTTGATGTCTCAAACATGTCCTTGCTGGTATTTCTGCCTCGAGTCACTGAGTCTTAATGGTTGTACCAACTAACTTAAAAAAAAAAAAATAAGCTCAGGATTATTACCTTAAAGCTATTTTTGGATACGTATGACATGGAAGTGCCTGACTGGGTCCGGTGTGAAGGTGTGGAGTAACTGTAGCCTGGGCCCCCTGCTTGGCAATCTTAGCACAGTCACCCAAGACTGAAGGGCATGGAGACTGAACTGCCCTCTTCCCCTGCACACGGTGCCCCTCTGCTAGCACTGAGGCACACTGGTGGACAGTGGCAGGCTGCAATGCCACTGTCTGTGCCATACCTGTTCTGTGGGGAGAGAGAGGACTTCAGTCTCCACGCCTTCAATCTGGTACTTTGCATGAGCACTAAATCCACTAAAAAGGAACAAACACAAAACAAAAGAGCTCAATATGAAATGCACAGGGTCTGAAGGATCCTCCGTGGACCCATTCTCTATGGAAAGGATGCTTTTCAGACATTAGGCATCTAAGGAAACCAAAAGAGGAAACATCAATCAAGCCACCTACTGCTATTGTCTTTAAAGGACTTAGGACACAAACCTGAGGATGAGATTGATTTCATCTTCCTTGGTCCATTCAGTTCCTCCACTCTGTTTCCAGTTCAGGTAGTTGAGCCATTTAGAACGACACTGCTTTTCTGAGCGGGTACCCACTCGCTCTGCCACAGCTGCCCATGACACGCCCTGTGTCACTATGTCACCTGGCTCAGTGCTTGTCAATTCATGAACCACCTCTGCAAGTCTCTTTTCCTCTTCTTCTGTCCACTTCCCTGAAAGAAGGAAATCATCAGACTATTATGCTACCTTCCTTTTTGCAAATCAGATGCAGCCCTGATGGGAAGTACGCAGTAGCGCCAGTAAGTTATTTCTGAATGACTCTGGGGAAGGACACTGCATGTATCTACTAAGACGACTGCGTTTGACTAGGCCAGGAAGGTTCTTGATACAAAAGAAAATACAGAATCCTGATGGAAAACACTGACTGACTCCTTAAGGAAAGAAAAACTACCCAGTACATACCTAGAAAGAATTATACACTGTCAGCCGCACTAAACCTAAGTGGTAAGAGCTTTGTGGTAGCGAGTTGGACACAAAACCTCACAAAATTTTTCCTTAGTTTTGTCTAGAATTCCCTGCTCTGCAGAAGTGGTGTGGCTAACAGAGATCCCTCACCAGAGGAAAGAATGATGAGACAAGTGGAGTAACTCCTATGGGCTCCTACCCACTTCAGTAAAATGGAAACTAGGTTTATCCCATCTCCTTTCCCTACCAGCCCAACTCTAAGAAACTGTGACAGAACAGAAGTCTGAGACTGGTATTCACACATGATTTTACTCCAGGTTTTCCCAAAGCCATAAACCAGTAATGACACCAAATGATCCGTTTGGTCTTTTCTTAAGGAACTTAAGCATAAAAACAGTTTTTTGTTTTTGTTTTTGTTTTTTTTTAACTCCTTCCACTTCTGTTTCCATTTTGTTACTAGTAGCTAAAATGCCTAGAAAATTTCAAAAGAGCTGTGTGCTTGCATCAGGGATTCATTCATTCAACAAACACTTATTGGACTTCTATTATGCACTAAGCACAGTTCTGGATACCATATATTCAAGACAAAGTCCTGCTTCTACTTTAGCATGGCAGCAAAACGGTACTCACAGTGCCTTACATAAAAACTCTGGGCCAAATTCTAAACGTAGAGCTCCTATTCCTGCTTCATTCATTAAGCTGTCATTAACCACAGAATGACAGAGTTGGAGGGATTTATTTCTCTATGTCTTGTGGGTCACAGGGCTGGTGGAGTCAATGGTTAAGCAGGAAATATTCCCCGATTCCACTTTGGCAGGGTAGGGAGGTGAAAACGGAAAACATACAACTAGGAAGGTTAGGCTTAACTTGAGAACCACTTTTCTTACTGAAAGACTGAGCACAGATTGTAGCTCCTTCAGAAAATTTTAGGGCTAAAATGGAACTATCTTACTTTCCTTCTCATATATGAGATCTACAGATCACCTATTCTAACCTCTTCATTTTTGAGGAAATTCAGGCTCAGAAAGTTATGTGAGAGCTGGTGCCAGAGCCTCAATACTGTTACTGGTCACAGAGGTTAGGTTTAACAGTATCATCAGTGCACTTGTATACACTAAGAGTTAAATAGGCATTTGTGGTCTGTACCAGAGACTGAAACACTAATGACAAGTTTTTTTCTATAGAAAAATATACTTACTTGCTTGAAATTAGCAAAACAGAGCCATAGCACTGAAGGTAACTTGAGCTGGGAACTGACCAAACTGAAGTTTTTTTTTTATAACATGAAGTTGATAAGGTGTTGTTTACAGAAGCTCAACAGTTAGATGGGTTTAAATTAAAACTACTTCCTGTTATGTAAGCCTTAATAATAAAAACTTTCCCAACTGGAGCAGTTTTGCATTGCTACAAAATGGAAACATGCTACACCTAAAACCTCTGAAACGGAGGCAATGTGTCCCTGTGAACAATGTCACCTCACACAAAGGCAGAAAAATGAAGGCTTACTCGGGCCTACAAAGCACGAAGAAAAAGGAAGACTAGAAAATACAATGTGAACTCAAGCGAATGACAAATTTCTTTCTGGAAGAGTAGAGAAAGCAGTATGAGAAGGGGCGGGAAGCTCTGATGGAGACAAGAGCGGGCGCTCACAGTACCTGTGTTGCAAGTATCCTTCATCAGTCGGCACCGATCTTTGACGGAAGACGCGCTTCTTCCTAGCGCCGCCCCTATTGTTGCCCAGTCATTGCCATGCTTTATCCGGAGCCTAAAACAAGAGTCTGCCAATCAGCATTGGGTTCAACTGTTTTCTCCCTTTTAATTTCATCATTTATTCTTCATTCTTCTTCTTCCCATTTGACTGGTTTGGAAGTTGTGGGCAGCAATACTTTGAGAGCCAAAGTTTGAAAGTGTGGCCTTTTTTTGGGGTCCACAGTTGTCTGTGGGTGAAAAAAAAACAGGCAGCAATTGCCTTTTTCCTGGGTCAGAGAAGAAATAAGTAACTTGGATATGTGTTCAAAAAAGACCAAATTTCCCCTCAGGTTACTGACACAATCTCCCAGGCAATCCCCAGATTGTTCCCTTTGAGCACGCCTAACAAGCTCTTCTCAGACATCTGAAAAAGTTTCCTAAGCTGCTATCACCATAAAGAGGATCAACCTTCAATTTTTTTCCATGGTCCATACAATCCATCAACCCATACTTTAGGGCCCTACTCAACAAAGCAAAATTATTTTTCCTGCAAAATAGCCTTCATAAAGTAGAGTCCGCCCAGACATTAAGTGCAACATTTGCTAAGTCACCATTCTAAACTAAGCATGTAGCACAACCCCGGTTTTGATCCTGGTTTCTAATCCCGGTATTCAGTCTTCAGGCCACCAAGAATGGCCATCTAATCTCTTCTGTAACCCTTATTAGTGGTCTGAGGACACATTTAATTCAGCAACTCACTAAGGAGAAGATGAAATTTAAGGGCATGGCTACTCTGTGCACGTATGGACCTGAAAAGTTCTTCTTATGGTCAATCATGCTTAATAGCACGATTAAATTACACCAGTCTACTAAAAATCTCTTGACAGTTTCAAAGTAAAAGTTTAGAAAAAACAAAGGTATTAAAAAAATTAAAACCCAACTATCAGAATTCAGAAAAAGAAAAAAAATTTTTTAACTTACTCCTTGAGCTTTTCAATTTCTTCAGGTGTATATCTAGAAATTTAAAGAAATTTTTAAAAAGATCGATTAAAACAAAGAATGTTAAAAAAAAAACAACTTAATAAAAATCAGAATTTTACTTAGGGACCCAAATGTTAAGTCACTTAGCACACTGATAATATTTTAAAAGTAACCAACTTCAAAGTAAATTACTAAAAATTGAAACTGATGCTTCTATCTTCTTTTTTATAAAAAAATACTTTTAGCTATAATAAAAGTGAGCAATGTACATCTTTCTCTAGGAAAATACAACACTTAAAACATATTTGCACCTATTCCACTTTAAGTCTTCCTTTATTTGAAAACTGGTTTCAGGCCCTCTAATATCGTAGTTACTCTGAAAGACTTATGTATGACACTGTAAACCAGAGCCAAAATGCAAATCTATGGTAAACTGTTACAAGGCACCAAAAAATTTAAAAAACTTCTCTTTATTTCCCCTACCCATGCATGGACATCTTCCAGACTCTTGCTCCAATGTAAAGGCTCTTTTTCTTTAGAGGTTATGTACTCAATACAGCCAATGCAATGTTCTTTTTAAAAGCAGTACCTAATAAGCCATAGTATGACTACCTAAAATTCCCAAAGGGAAATTAAAAAACACCAAAGAATCCTTGCACTGAAAAAAAAAAAATGATGCCTTCCCATAAATGTTACCTATAACAGAAATCCAGGCATTGTATTTAGAAATTTAGTTATTTTCCATTCTGGTTTTATTTAAAAAGATAAAAAAAGGGTCACTAACCTAGGAAATGCTATACTATAAAAAAATAGGAATGATGTTACCAATGAATTTAGAGGGTTTTTCCCCCACACCTCCTAAATCTTTACCCACTATAATATTTTTTATTATAATGTTACTTTATTATATAGCAGACTTTGATGAAGATAGCTAAGTCTAAAATCTGACATATAAGGTGATTGAGATTCTAAGTTCTAAGAGGCCTTATTATAATGAGATTTCCATAGTTACAACATGGACCTGGAGAAAAAAAATATTAACACAGCAAACAGTAATTCATAGCTGTTTCCAATTAAAATTCTGCTCATATTTTTAAAAAAAGATAGCTCTTTAAATATTTCCCCTAATTACATGAAAACATGCAGCATTACAAGTTTTCATACTTTCCCACATGGTTTCTGTCATCATACATGCGAAGCACTCTTCTATAAACTGCAAACAAAGGCCGGTTCAGACCCCATGCTATAGTCCTGTAGAAATCTTTTCTTTCGTCTTTTGACATCTCAAAGATGATTTCTGTAGCATCTTTTATTCCGCGTGCCTAAATGGGTTACATTTCTTTGATTTAGGGATTTCTGATAAAATGCATATGGATATACTATGCTTTTTAAAAGTTGTTTTTTTATTTTCAAGATCATCAATGGCATTTAGAAAAATAATGTATTGCTAATTCATTAATAAGTCAAATATAAACTTTAAAATGTTTCAAGAGATAATAAAGTGATACTTAAATGCTCCAAAAATAAACTATTAAATTCATAAAGTCATGTTGTGTCAACACCTTTTAAAATTATAAAAAAATTAATATCTAAAGAAAGTAGAAGAAAATCACAAGAATAAAATTAACAGAATTAGGAATCAAATAAATAACAGAAACTATAAGCAATGCTAAAAAAATGGTACTTTGAAAAGACTCATCAAGACTAATAAAATACGAAAAGATAAACTATGGCAAAACTAAAAGACAAAACACTGGAAATGAAAAAATGGGGCCTAAGTAGAGATGCTACAGAGATTAGACAGTTGAACATTATGAAAATTCTATGGCCATAAATTTGAAAACTTACATAAAATGAATAAACTCCTAGAAAAAGTCAACTTACCAAAACAGACTCAGGAAGAGATAGAAAATCTAATAAGCACAGACCACCAAGAAAATTTAATAGTTATTAATAATTTTTCACAATGGAAATACCAGGCCCACATGAATTCATAGGTAAATCCTACCAAACAATCAAGAGAAACATCATTCTGATTTTAAACTATTCTATGGTATAAAAAAACAGGGGGAACACTTCCTCATTCATTTTATTAGGCTACTATAACCTCAACAGCAAAACCACACAAGGACAGTTTCAGAAAAGAATTTTCAGGTAAGTTCATTCTCTAATACAGATCCCCCAGTCCCTAAAATATTGAGCACCAGCAATGTGTAAGAAGGTCAGTAATCAATACAGATGGATACAGATGGTATACTTATTCCAGGAATTTTGTGTTAATTAAAAAAATTATTATTATAGCATTAATTATTAAATTTATGGAAAAAGTGTAAATAGCTATAGATGTGGAAAGAACATTTATAACATAGAACATTCATAATTGCACTCCTAGTGAATTTGGATTTGCTGATAACCTAATAAAAGAAAATATATAAAAAGCATAGGTTGAAAAAGAAAAATCATTTACAGGTGTTATATATGAAGAAACTTAAATGAGTAGCAAATTCTCATTACAAAATCAGTATACAAAGTTATTTGCATTTCTATACAAAGATCAAAAAAAGTTTAAAAGTTCTCATTTACAGTATCATCAAAATTAAAAGCAACAGGACTAAATCTTAGGCAAGTTATACAAGTCCTTTATGGAGGAAAACAAAGTACCAAAAGGCATTAAACAGGAAGCCACTACAACAGACGGTATACAGTGTTCTCTATAGGAAAATGGAATACTGTAAAGATGTTAATTACCCTCAAACTAATGCACAGATTCAATGCAGTCCAATAAAAATTCCAACAGTTTTCCATTCTCTGCAACTCGATTCTAAGCAAAGGGTCAAAAAGGGGCAAGACATTCATAAAGAGACTTGCCCCATTAGGTGCTATGATTTCTCTAAGTAGTGTCATCTATACTAGTGCCAAGTATCAACAAACAGAACCTGGGAACAAATTAGAAACCTACAAACAGATTTGTGGAAGCTTGATTTGGAACAAAACGGACACTGTAGACTGGGAGAAGACGGACATTCTATAGCGATGCTGGGACAACTGCCTTCCATATTAAACAAACAAACAAAAAAATCAAAACAAACCAACCAAAAAACCCCAACAGTGAAACCCTATCTCAGAGCTATAGGGAAAAAAAAATCAACATGAAAGACAAAACTATAGAACTTTTATGTGATAATATATAGGGCAATATCCTTATGCCCTTGAAGCAGAAAAGGATTTCCAAATAACCATGCAAAATATAAAAGTAAAAAATGATTTTGATGTTGAAATTAAGATTTTCATCAAATGACTCCCGCAGAAAAGGAAAAGATAGGCTACTGAATTGAGACAAGATATCAAATAAACAAAGAGCCAGCATACATTAAGAATGTCTAGAGAATGAAAAAGATAACCCTGCAAAAAACTGATAAAAAAACAAACAGGAATTTCAAAGAGGAAACCTAGAAAGTGGCCAGTAAGCATATAAAAGTATGTTATCAGAGGAATACAGATTAAAATCCATAATAAAGCAGCATTCACACCCAACAAATTTGTTTAAATTAATAGCAAAAAACCTATAAAGACCCCAAATGACTGTTAACTGCACATGGTAACTTACAGTATCTATACTGGCATTATGAAATACAGCTAAAAAAAAAAATCAACAGGGTATGGATCACAAAATCACAATAAACAACAGAAGCCAATTATAGAACACCCAGAGAATGAAACCATTTACATAAATTTCAAAAAGAGGTAAAATTACGCTGATGTGCATTTTATACATTCCTTGGAATGTATAGAACTTCACAGGAAAAAGTTTCTACATTTTTTCTATTAATCTTTTTTTTCTTTTTAAGATTTTTATTTATTTATTTTGACAGAGTGACAGAGAACACAAGTAGGCAGAGAGGCAGGCAGAGAGAGAGGAAGCAGGCTCCCCGCAGAGCAGAGAGCCGGATGCAGGGCTCGATCCCAGGACACTAGGATCATTACCTGAGCCAAAGGCAGAGGCTTTAACCCACTGAGCCACCCAGGTGCCCCCTATTAGTCAGCTCTACACCCAACGTGGGGTTTAAACTCATGACCGCAAGATCAAGAGTCACACTCTACTGAATGAGCCAGCTAGATGCCCCAAGTTTCTAAATTTTAGAATTTAAAATCCTCTTATTCCAGTTCTGCAAATAATAAATCTAACATTTACAATCTAAATATATGAAAGGCACTGTGTTGCAGGATGACCATATACTGAGATGAAGATGCTTCTGCTCTTTTTTCCACTTGTATCATACTTTCATTTATCTGATGTCTAATTAATTGGTTTAAAAATGGCTTCACATGGGGCACCTGGGTGGCTCAGTTGTTAGGCGGCTGCCTTCAGCTCAGGTCACGATCCCAGGGTCCTGGGATAGAGCCCCACATTGGGCTCACTGCTCCACGGGAAGCCTGCTTCTCCCTCTCCCACTCCCCCTGCTTGTGTTCCCTCTCTTGCTGTGTCTCTCTGTCAAATAAACAAGTAAAATCTTAAAAAAAAATTTAATAAAAATGGCTCCACAGTGTTCTTAAACAGCAGCACATAATAAAAACCATGATCAACTATCAAACCAGGTATCTTTTCCCAAGATCAGTATGCCCTTTTGGACGTTTCCTATCTCTGCCAATCCATTCATCCTTCTCCCAGGCATCCAAAATAAAACACCCTGAAGTTATTCCAAATCTTCCTTTTCCCTCTTCTCCGACATCTAGTCACCAGGTGTCCTTACCGACCATCTGCTTATCTGCCAATTCTTCCACCACTCTAGTTTATAAAGTCCTTAATTATCTCATCCAGTCAAGCGATCTCAAATCAGTCTAAAAGATTTAGATCTCAAAGATCTCGCATCAGTCACATTCCTGCCCTTTAATCAGAATTGAAGGGGTCCTTGAAAACCATCAACTCCAATCCCCTAGACAAGAAACCAGCTTAATTCCCAAAGTTCAGGGTTCTTATCATTTGTTACTGCCTTATATAAACCTGCAGAATTTTTCAAGTTTTAACTAAAGTTTATGTGGCTGGTGGACATATACTTTCAGTGGTCACTGCATTTGTGTTTCTCTTAAAAATATTAGTTTGGTGGGAAGAATCTTTATTCATTAACAAAGAACTGAAGTTTTTTTATTTACTCCTTAGAGTTTACAGAGCTTAGCTCGGGAACAGTGCAGATTAAAATCAGGTTTAGGAATATGGACAGTCTAGGCACCAATATATTTATAGTAGTGAAAAATTTTATCAACCACCCAAGTATCAAACAAAATAGGAGAATGGTTAAATAAATGCTGTACACGTCCCATTCCCAAACAATGCTGATGGTCTGTATTTCAAACATGCACTAACTCCAATAAGGGAACGGTCAGCAAATTACTAGAAAAATTCCCTTGAAAAGAGCACAGACCTACTCCACCAATCCCTCACTCAACTAAGTTACTAGCTTTTCTCATTTCCTATAAGACAGTTCTATTTCTTTGGACTGGACTTCAAAGCCAAGTTTCCAGATAATTACTCGGTTCAAGTTAAAGGGGCTAATTTAATGTGCTCTGAGTTTCATTTGACTCCTTGGTGCTCAGCATTTGCTCATGCTCCCTCCAGCCCCATTCTAGCCCAAGTTCTCTTCCTTTAAGACTCCACTCAAAAAAAAAAAAAATTAAAGGGGCGCCTGGGTGGCTCAGTGGGTTAAGCCTCTGCCTTCACCTCAGGTCATGATCCCAGGGTCCTGGGATCGAGCTCCGCATCCAGCTCTGTGCTCAGCAGGGAGCCTGCTTCCTCCTCTCTCTCTCTCTGCCTGCCTCTCTGACTACTTGTGATCTCTCTCTCTGTCAAATAAATAAATAAATAAATCTTTAAAAAAAAAATTAAAAAATAAAATAAAAAAATAAATAAAAATAGGGGTGCCTGGGTGGCTCAGCGGGTTAAAGCCTTTGCCTTCGGCTCAGGTTGTGGTCTTGGGGTCCTGAGATTGGGCCCCCCATTGGGCTCTCTGCTCAGCGCCTGCTTCCCACCCCCACTCCCCCACCTGCCTCTCTGCCTACTTGTGATTTCTGTCAAAATAAATAAATAAAATCTTAAAAAAAAAAAAAAAAAGACTCCACTTAAATCCTTGCTCTTCCAAATATTTTCCATAACTGTCCTAACCCTAAGAATATACTCTTCCTTCTCCAATCTCATGCAGAATTCACAACATGTATCACTCACATGGTACAAAGCCTTACTCTTCACCTGCTTTTAACACTCCGAAATGAATTGCTGGCTTTTAAAAAGCCAACACTGTGTATTATAGCAATTCATATCTCCAGTACCTCAAAAATGCTATGTTCAAGAGACATTTAATGAAAAGGATGACTTAGCTAACCACATATAAGCCTCAACAGAAAAATGAACTAAATTATTCTTTTTTTTTTTTAAAGATTTTATTTATTTATTTGTCAGACAGAGATCACAAGTAGGCGGAGGCAGGCAGAGAGAGGAGGAAGCAGGCTCCCTGCTGAGCAGAGAGCTCGATGCGGGGCTCGATCCCAGGACCCTGGGACCATGACCTGAGCTGAAGGCAGAGGCTTTAACCCACTGAGCCACCCAGGCACCCCTAAATTATTCATTTTTTTTAAAAAGGGGAAGACTCATGTTGTAAATACACTCAAAGAAGACATGAATCTTAGGCTTTAGACAGTACAAGCATAAACTAATTTACAGGCTGCTTGAAAAGACAGGGCTTTAAGATTCTGAGAAGCTATTAGGATTTTGCCTAAATTTCAGATGTTGACTAACACAGTAAAGTTATGTTAAACTAAAAATTTGAAATTTGTTCAAAAATATGCTATGATTATACACCTTAAAATTATGAAGCTATGACATATTAACCAATCATCCATTAGAAAAACTACTGGAAAGCTCCTTATAAAGTACATACAATGATGCTTTGATGATTTTTGCAAATTGGCAATGAAAGAATTTGTGAAACAAACAAATGCCATAAAATACCTTTAGATAGCGTTCAATATTGTTCATCAAAATATCAATTTCTTCCTTAGACCACATCCCCTGTTTCCATTTATGTCCTTTAAGGGAAAAGAAATAATGTTATAGAAAATGTTATCCCTCAAGAGGAATAAAATACTGCCAATTTGCTTTGTGATTAAATAAATTATCTATGGGAACAAAATATAGCTACTTTTTTATTCATCTGAAATCTGAAAGATCCCCAAATAGCTGCTTTTGTAATCTCTTTTGAGTAGACTCCAAGGCCAATGCGGGGCTTGAACTCCTGACCCTGAGATCAAGGGTTACATGCTCTACTAACTGAGTCAGCTATGCGCCCCATAACCTCTGGTTTGTAAGAAAGAATATATTCGCTCCTAGGGCACCTGGGTGGCTCAGGCAGTTAAGTTGTCCAACTCTTGTTTTTGGCTCAGGTCATAATCTCAAGGTCGTGAGATGGAGCCCTGCATCAGGGTCTGCGCTCAGTGTGGAGTCTCCTTGAGATTCTGAGATTCAGTCTCCCTCTCCCTCTGCCCCCCCTTCTCTTACACTCTCCTTCTCTCTCTCTAAAATAAATAAATAAATCTCAAAAAAAAAAAACCCAAAAAACAAAAACCCAACATTTGATTCTACTAAATAAAAATAATAAGTAAAAGAGTAAGAATTTATTACTTCCTCTCAGTTATATGTCTTATTCTTGGAGCAATACAGGCATGCTAAAAAGACATGAAAATTACAAAAGCCAAATCATGCTCAAAACTGTCTGAAAAATTCACCAATGAAAAAAATAAATTTTATGGGCAAAAGAGCATGCACAAATGATTCTAGGACAAGGTAAACATACTATGTTGGATATGAAGCGAATAATATATTTATAATGAGTATTTACTATGCAGTGGATGAATGCAATTCCTTTCCTTAACTTCAGAGTGGTGTAAGCTATAATCCCCACTTTCTTGTGAAAGCAGCTCCCCACCAATCCTTATGAACTCTGGAGCACTATAAACACTTACTTTAAACTTCTAAGCCGCTTATCAGACCAAGAGTTTTGAAAAGACTTGACTTCCCACTCCCATGTGAAGTAACTACTTTCTTTTAAATGCCACCCCTGTGCATCTGTTTATGATTTACTGCATCTCAGAGAAATTATGATCATTGAAAAACAAATGTTGGTTTCATGGTCTCATTCAGAGCCAAAGTTAATCAATCACAAAAACTCAATTACTGTAACTACTCAATCACAATTATGAAGTCCTCAAAATCCTGATGACTACAAGTTCTTCTTACCTCCTCTTTTTTTTCCAATGGACACTGAAATTCATATTACTTCTTACCTTTGTTAGTCAGAGAATCCTTATCTTCTTTAGTTGTAAACCATGCTTGGCTAACTGCTGAAACTTCCTCATTACCCAAGGGAGATATATCATCTAGTTGTTCATTCTGTAGAATCTTGAAGCAGTAAAGGGGGAAAAAAAAAGTATAGCTTTATTTAATACAACTTGTTTCATCTTTATCTGCAATACTAAACATTATAAAAACTCTAATCTATGGAAAAACAAAATTTTTTTCTGTTTTTATTATGATAGTATGAAAACAAACCTGCCAGCATTAACAATATATGACCTTCATTTAAGTAAGTTAACTCCGTACTAGTGGCATGAATTTTATAGAATAGTAGCTAGGGTTCCGGTAAGTACTTAAAGAAATACAGGATATCTAAAGCCATCTGTTTATTTATATATGTAAAATAAGCTCATACATATAATAAAATAGAAAGGTTTCATTTGACTGTTATGATTGTTCAGGTCCCTTAGGTAGTTTGCTGCCAGAATACAGTCATCTGTAATGTTAATCTCTTGCTAAATTTAAAGGATTAATAGGCCAAATCAGAAGACATAGCAAAATCATGGTCTCTTTATTGACAAGTTTGTTTTAGCCAGCCTCTAGAACTGATTCCTAACCTCATCAATGAACCTTCTTCTCAAAGAACAACTGTATGTTATCACTTCTTCTCCTTATTGCAGCTAAAGCAGTCTTTACTGAGAAATGTGTAGTTAAAAACTAATAGCTTTATTGAGATAATAATTCACACACCATAAAGTTCACCCTTTAAAGTATACAATTCAGTGGCTTTTAATATATTTATGCAATTATCACACCAGGTACATTTTCAATTACAGACATATGTGATCTAGCAAATTCTGCAGGAACAAAACCGCTTAAGAGAGCTGGCCTTGGGCTAAAGACAGCTATCGTATGAGTAAGGAAGATGTGGCAACAGGGCTGCCATTCGACGGACAAGCCCACCTATCATATGCAGGCCAGGAGATAGTCACATGCCCAGTGACCACTCAACTCAGTTCAGTCTCCAGAGTGGGTCAACTAAGCTATGTCACTGACCAGAGTTAAATCCTAACAGACATTGGACTACTTCTTGAGGAGGCAGAAACTGAATTTCTAATTTCAAGAGGCACTGAAATCATCCTGCTTGGGAAGACAGTAGCTGTCAGTGAACAGCCAAAGCACAACGAGGAGGAAAGACACATCTCTACCGTTATCTCTGTTGTTTTTTTTAATCTGGAAATAATGAATGTGTTGTATTTAAAAAAGCACTGTTCTTAAATCTATGGACAAAAAGCTAGAGTCACTGGAGTAAGTATGAAAAGTTTTGTCACCCTATGTTTATGTGTCATACATTTTAGATTTTTTTTGTTTTAAAGATCAAGAGGCTACCTTTATAAAGGTGAGAACGGAGACAGACTAGACAGATAATGTCTAAGGTCTCTTGTATTCTGAAGATCCCAACTGTCTAAGATTTGACACAGAGGTTATTCGTCAAGGGTGACAGATTGCTGTGAGAAGACCTTCACATAAACAATACCCACTATTAGGAAATGTAATGTAGAAAATACTCTCTTGAGATGATCTTCTCTTATATATTAATCAGCTGGTTAAAAGAATAAAATCACCATTTCCCAGTGAGTCTAAATATACAGCCCACTCTTTGAACCTACGACTATCCCTGTCATGCTGATCAACTGCTCTCTTTGGGCAAAACCTAATGCTTTTTGTCACAAATTACCCTGATGAAGAAATACAATTACTATTTACAAAGACTAAACACGTAAATAGTAAACATGTAAACAGCCAATAATTATTAAATTTTACCACCGATAGCAAGTTAATGGAGTATTGTAGACGACTTAGGTTCCTCAAAGAATGTCTAACTATATTTGGTATACACATATTATTAAGTTTTACAGTATTTTACCCCCATTTTTCACTACTTTATATACTCATTTTTAAAAAATTACTCAGATATGTTTAGTATGCTGCGTTTTTGACATGCAGCCTTTCTGAGTTGGTGTAGTTGTAGGGTTTTATGTCTGTAACATACACAGACTTGGAAATCTAAATAATTCCCCCACGAAATACCTCTTGTAGCCGCAAAGCACTGTAAATATTGGAAAATTTTTGAGTTTCTAATTATCTTTCCTGCTAGCTCCAATGCTGAAATGGACAGTACATTAACTACAGCAGTATGTGAAACAGTTACACCTGCTTTGGCACAGGACACCGCAAAAAGCAGGCTTGTTCTGAACTCTGAACTATGCTTTCACTCACAACCTAATGGTATTTTTATGAAACAAGTATTAGAAATTATTAAATGTTTTTCATACACTAAAATGGTAATAACAAACCAAGAGGCTAATATCAAATTATAGCTCATTAACTTTTAAGAAATAAGCCAAACAAAACAGCCCTATAATTTGTCTAACTCACACTGCCATTGCCCAATCTTTTAACAAGCAGGTTGTAAACCAAATCACACATGTATATATACACAGCTATTTTTACTGTGCTGAAAATGAAACAAAGTGAGATTATACAGTCTTTGAATTGGAAATGAATTTGACAAGCCCAGTTTTGAAGAACATGCTCTAGAGCTTCAGAGGACTTAGAAAAAATTATTGTCCAAATCACCCACTCAAATCCAAGAGCAGATTATGAGGATCTCTAGGCAGGCTCAAAACTGTTTGATATACATGAAAGACTCACTCCTCTAGAAATCTTGTTATTCTAGACCCACTGTGAAGCTCCCTGTGAAGAAGGTTCACAGTGCACCCACTGGAGATTTCCTCACTCCTTGATGTTATGTATCAACTCGTAACTCTTACACTTAACTGAAGGGTCATTGGAAAAATAATGACCTAATGTCTCTATTATCTACTTCAAAAATATGTTATTAAATAAAGAAATGAAGCAAAAGGACAAGATACTAAAAAGAAAGGCACAATCAGCCAGACATTAACTTTAAAGTAAAATAGATTTAAGCTCCAGGCTATCTAAGAGAGCAAAGAATTCTGATTACACTTCCTAGAAATAAGTCATATATAAGATACAAAGAAGTTCACATGAAAGGAAAGCAGTAGGCCCTGCTTGTTATCCAACCACTTAACTCAGGGTAAAATGTATCTTAGTCCTAGAAGGATGAAAAGGGACTACAACTGTTAAAATTAAAATCCATGTGAAATGAATAGCTTCCATTCATACTAGAACGCAACACATATGTAGCCCTTCTAAATCAGTCACCAGAGATACTGCTGGCTAACACTTAAAAAGCTTTACACCAGTATCTTCTATAACTGGTAAGATAAGATATAAGGTTATTTAATAGCTCAAGTGAGATCATCCTATGTAGCTAAAGAATTCACGTGCACCATCTGTCTCAACAGATGTGAACCACTCTACAGGGAATGAATTTTCAAACTCTATCTTTGCCTACTATTCTGAGAGTCGTATAAGTGGGAACTGGAAACCTGAATGAAAATAATAAGTCTTACCTCAATTCTGTCCTTTGTCAGACAAATTATGTTCTCATCATTTTACCACCTAAGGTATGTGTTAAGGATAATCCTCTTGCGGTCAGTAAAAAGACTCACTATACCTGGATCTGGGTCACAGTTCCCTCAGTAATCTCATCATCTGCCACCTCTGTGGTTGCAGTCATGGTCACCTCAAAGCTCTGATCATTTTCTGAAACTTCAAGAAAAAAGAACAATTCAACTCCAGAGTAGTAGCAGATTCTAATTAAAAAAAAGAAAGAAAGAAAGTAAGAAAGAAATCCATGGGACAAAATATGTGACCATCTAATTTCCTAATATATTCTTTGCCATATATGCTTAATAAAAATTTATTGTGTACCTGATATACATACTAGGTATTGTTTTGGGTAACGGGAAGACATCAGTAAGCAAATGAAACAAAGTCCTACCTTCATGGTGCTTATATTCTAGTAGGGGAAAGACACAAAATGAACCTATTTTGTCAAATGTTGATGAATAATGAGCAAAAATAAAGCAGAAAAGGGAATGTATTGGGGAAGGGGACTGAAATTTTAGGTAACAGGCCAGGAAAAGGAACAAAGATTTGAACCCAAATGACAAAGGGAACTAGTTATACAGGTATCTTGAAGAAGAACACTTCATGCGGAAGGAAAGCCAAGAGCAAAGACTCTGAGATAGGGGCACACCTGGACTGTTCAAAGGAATGATAAGGAGGACAGTGTGACCAGAGAAGACTGAACAAGAACATTAAGATACTGTGTAGGGGCTTGAAGTCCAATGTAAAGACTCCGGCTTTAACCCTCAGAGAGGAAACTACTAGAAGACACAGAGTGACAATCTGATTTTTATTTTAATGGGATCACTCTGGCTCCTAAGGAGACAACAGTCTGACGGCAGGCAGGAAGGGCTACAGTGAAATCACTTAAGAAGCTAATTCAATAATCCAGGTAAGAGAAGTTGGTGACTGGACCAGGGCAGAACTCAAGTGAGCGTGATGAGTAGTTCAAATCGTGGATATATTTTGATTTGGGAACCAACAGGATTTGTGGATAAACTAAACACGAAAGAAACCGTAAAGTCCAGGATGTTATGAAAGTTTTAAAAATCTGACCTAGTGGAAGAATGTACTTGACATTAATGAACTAGGGAAGACTGCGGAAGAAGCAAATGTTAGAATTTAAGAAGTTTCAGGAGCTTGGTTTTAAACATACTAGTTTGAGGCTGAACATCTAGAATTAAGATAAAATTCTGGACTGGAATAAATCTGGGCCTCATCACCTAAGACAGGATTTGAAACTATACATTCTAGAAAGTGAGAGGAAACAAAACAGAAGCAGCAGAAGGGCTGGGTCCTGGACTGCTCCAATTTACAGCCCGGGGATGTGAACAGGTCAGCGTGAGAGACTCAGAAGGCACAGAGAGTGAGGTAGAAAAAACTACAGGAATGTGTTCCCTGAAAACCAAAGGACAAAATGTTCCAGAAAAGACGGAGTGATAAATATTATCAAAAACTATGGATAGCTCAAGTAAAAAAGACAGAAACAAACAAAAAAATCACCACTGGACTTAGCAGCAAGCTAGTCTCTGGAAACCTGGGAAGAACAGTTTTGATGAAATGATTAAGAGGTGAAACCCTGACTGGAATGGGTTTAGGAAGAATGGAGGAAGAAATGGAGGTAAGTATATCAATTCTTTCAAAGTATTCTGCTCTAAAGGAAAGGAAATATGTTAGATGGGAGTCCAAAGTGGGCTAATGAGATTTTTTGTTTTATTTTTTAAGGATTTTATTTATTTGTCAGAGAGATAGAGTACATACACTAGCAGGGGGAGTGGCAGCCAGAGGGAGAAGCAGGCGCCCCACTGAGCAAGGAGCTCCATGCAGGATTTAATCCCAGGACCCTGAGATCATGACCTGAGCCAACGCAGACACTTAAACTGACTGAGGCATCCCAGGGACTTTTTAAATTAGAAATTATAGTAGGTTTGCAGTGCTGATGGGAATGATCCAGTAGAGAATGAAAAACTGATGATTTAGAGGAGGGAGAAGAAATGCAGCAACAATGTCCCTGAGTAGGTCAAAGGGATGAGATCTAGTTAAGCGAAGGGCTGGCTTTAGCTAGAAGACAGACAGAATGTATAGACATAGCTACATGTGGGTATGTATTTTGTAGTAGTGGAAATCTGCAGAAAGTTATCTGGACTACTTCAATATTCTCAGTAAATAGAAACAAGGTTATCTGCTGAGATTAAGGAAGGTGGAGAAAACACTGGAGGTTTCAGGAATGAATGAAATAGTCATTTCTAAGGAGGAGAAGAAAAATCATTTGGTAAGTGTGGTGTGACTGACAGGCAACAGTATGAGCCCACTTCAAGTTAATAATCATGAATTTAAAGTAAGATCACTTAGTTTGTTTGTGCTGTTTTCCAATTGGCTATACCAGTACAGACATAAATAGCCACAGATTTAACCAGGGTTGTGGTTTCACTAAAGGGCAATGAAGTGAGAGAAAAAAGGATCTGCAGGTAAATGCAAGATTAACCATGTAACATGCTGGGTATGGAGGAAACAAAAGGTACAAGTGAAAAAGAACAATGCGAAAGTGCTAAGATCAGTGGGTCCTAGTGGGCAAAGAAAGGACTGTAAGCATTCAAGAGTATTAGAGGAAGAAACCTGGAAAGATAGGAAGCAGTGCTGGAAGTGGATCACAAATGGACTTCAGTTAGTAGGTAACAGCAAAGGAGGTAATGGGAGAAATAAACAAGGTAGTGTGGAGAACAAAAGACAGAAGAGGCTAAGATATTGCAACAATCATCTAAATAATCACCAGAGTTCTATGAATAGGGAATGGAGTACATGGGGTGGTAGATAATTGCAGTAAGTAGTAGTAAGTGATATAGAATGATTAACATGAGAAGAGGATTTTTAAGGACCAGACAGATAAACTTTTATCAGCTTTATAAAGCCTATAATGAAAACTTAACTATTAAAATAAAATTTGAAGTTAAATCTTTAAGAGCTAATGATATTTACTTCCCTGAACTCCAACAAACAATGACTTGCCCATTCAGTCAGTCCCACATGATGGTGACAGACATAGGACTTCATGTTTTTATGTGACTTTTTTTTTAATGGAGAAGTTTTCCCCAGTTGATGTTATCAACATGTTTTTTACCAATTTAGAGAACAATACTTAAAGCCCATGTTTCATAAATTTAGTCTTACTATGAATATTAGGTTCCAGAATGTCCTCCAAACATGATGATGCTAAGACCCCACATGAAGCAGTCAGGAGCTTTCAGGTCAGCACAGCTAAATTATCCCACCCAGTTAAGTAAGTGAGTGTGTGAAGGATTCAGTCTAACACCGTAAAATAGAAGAAAATATCAACTGTAGTTTGAACATACAATCATGACCAAAGTACTCAACTTTAACCAAATGAATTAACCAGTCATAATTTATGTGAAAATAATCCCTCAAAAATTCTGGCTTAGTAAAATAAATATTTTTGTTTTATTTTATGTTCTGGGGATGTAATGTACAACATGGTGACTAAAATTAATAATACTCTATGGTATATTTGGAAACTGCTAAGAGAGCAGATCTTGAAAGTTCTCATCACAGGAAAAAACCCTGTAGCTATGTGTGGTGACAGATTTTAACTAGAATTATTATGTTCATTGCACAACATATACCAAATTATTATGCTGTGCACCTGAGACTAATAAAATGTTACAGATTAATTATATCTGAGTTTTAAAAAATTCCAGCTTAGGAAATGTCCATATAGGATTGTATCTGTACAGACAGGCCGGTCAAGTTTTAAGACTGGATCATAACCTAATGATGGTCAAATCAGGAGTTTAAAAATCATATGAATCATCACTAGAAGGAAAGATCATTTAATCACAAATACATTATGTTTGTATATGTCACTGGAAGCAATATTAGTAAATATTAGTAATGCTAACATTAACAATATCTTGGAACAAAATCTCACAGTAAACTAATATAGCAAATGGCTTCTATTTAACTGAGTAAGAATAAACTGTACATAAAAAGTACACATAGACTTTGTGAAGGCAAGGTTTGCCATGATGAAAACCTAATCTTCGTTTTTTCCAACAGGATGAAGGTATGATTTTGCTTGATACTGAGAGCAAAGTTAAATTTCTCAAGAACCAGAATGGCTGGGTATGACCTTAGACAAGTTCTCATACCTCTCTGTGCCTTACTTTCCTCATTATAAAACAGGGGTCATAATACCTACTCTATGGCATGTCTTCTCAATGAGGGCACGGGCATACGTGCTTCTGGGCGAGGTGTGGGTGAAAAAAGCATTCTCTTTATTAATAAAACAATAATACATACACACATACTTAAAAAAAAAAAGCAGTGTATCCGTGGTATTACAATTTCATGGCAGAGAGCACGATCAGGAGAAAACGTCTACATAGTTTGGGGTGGGGAGGATGACAACAATTAAAAACAAAAAGGCTGAGAAGATTAAAATAGGCAGTATATGTAAAAGCATTTAGAGCCATGCCCACTCATTACGTGTTAGTTAAGAGTTGTTTTGACTAAACAAAGAGAAAAATAATGGGTCTAAGTCTACCCTGAAATGCCAATTAGAGCTCTCCCAAGCTAAAAGTTGATTTCAAAAGGGAACTCTGTTCTTAACACATGGTGACTTACGTGGAAGTGCAACAACTGATATGCAAGGAGTAGAATCGTCAATACTCTGATCATCCTCAGAAGACAGACAAAGCCTTTTATGTGGAGGTTCAGTACTATCTTCTGAGTCTATTTCATCAGCTTCTAATGAAACAAAATAAAACAAAAATCTCAAAATCTTCAAACCAATGAGGAAAACCCAAAATCTCCATCAGTAACTGTAAAACCACCTTATCAATCTGCTCAGTTAACCCAATTATGCAGGTAGGACTCCAAATGACACTGCCTTCTCTGTCCCCAGTGCAGAACCTCAGCTCCTACTCTTATGGCAAGAACTATGAGAACCGGGGTGCCACTTTTTAAACATCAAGCTTCTGCGCTAACGACCCGTTTTTCCAAGTATTTCCCACGTAAAGACAAGGGCTGGTTCTTTAAGCCACTCACAAATATTTACTGAACGCCTACATGTGCTGGGTGCTGGGAACAGAACAATGCCAGATACTCTTCCTGTCCAGAAACTCACAGGGTAGTGGAGGAGAGGACTAAAACGACTATTTCAAAATAGTGTTCTAAGAGTTATGCAGGTGGAATGAGGGGAGAGGCAGCTAATTTAGACTACAGGTGAAGGAAGGTTTCCTGGAGAAGGTGTCTTAAACTGGAAAGAACTTGAATGAACAGATGCCGGGGTAAATGATTATTACTGGCACTAGGAATAATTGTTTGCAGTGACAGCGAGGTAGGAAAAGCTTAAGGTCTGTAAGGAAAAAAGCCAGCTGTGAATTGCTGAGACACAGATCTATGAAATGAGGCAGGAAGTGAGGTTGGAAGGAAAGTGGAGATGATGGGAGTCCATCACTGTACTCTGAAAACCATGGGACACTTAAACAAACAAAACTGCACTACTGAGTATTATGAGCAAGGTCATCAGCAGTCTGGAAGATGAATTTGAGTGGGGAGATGCATTAAAAGGCTACTAGGGCCTCCCAGGTGACAAATGAGACTCTGAACTAAGAAAGGGCGACTTGAGACAAGGGAAGAGATGGATTCAAGAAACAAAATACTATCAACAAGTCTTCATGATGGAATGAACGTAGGAGATGAGAGAAGGGTTTATTCCTACCCACATTTATGATCTGGGATACGAAGTAATGAAACTGACTGAGAGAACTAGGACTGGGGATTTTGTAAAAGAATTCAGTTTGGAACATGTGAAATTTAAGGTGTATGTGAGAAACAAAGAATTCAGAAAAAAGAAGTTTGAATCATTTTAATAGGTAGGTGGTAACTAAAATCTATTGAATAAAATAATCAGAAATTAAGTATTGAATGAGAAAAGAAGATAAAACCTAGGTTGAGCAAAGATAAACTTAAAGCAAAATAAAAAATAAGGGGGCGCCTGGGTGGCTCAGTGGGTTAAGGCCTCTGCCTTCAGCTCAGGTCATGATCCCAGGGTTCTGGGATCTAGCCCCGCATCGGGATCTCTGCTCAGCGGGGAGCCTGCTTCCTCCTCTCTCTCTCTGCCTGCTTCTCTGCCTACTTGTGATCTCTGTCTGTCAAATAAATAAATGAAATCTTTAAAAAAAATAAAAAATAAAAAAAAATAAGTACAAATAAGAAACAGTAGAGAAGTGACAACAAAATTACAAGCCTCAAGGTTATGGAATCTTAACTTTTTACAGATAATCATATTAAATCTTATTCAAATAGTCATGTAGAATCCTCTGAAAAACCTGACAGGACTACTATATTTTCTAATATACTACATACACTGCGGGCACCAAACGATATCAAAGAGGAAGTATATTACGGTTAATCAATCATCTTTGTAGGCTCATAAGATTGTACTCATTCATAAAGTAGCTACAAGACTGAAAGTTCAAATTTACAGTAAATTCTAAAAATACAAATATATTAAAAAAAAATAAAATATAAATTAAGGTTAATTCATGATCCAAAGAGAAAACCCCCTTTTCTACCATCCTGGCCTAAGCTGTCTATCTGGGTAACAGGGATCAAAGGTGACATAAAATCCAGAAATTCAAAAAAATCCACAATTCTACATCAGCAAGTTCTCCTACCATTCTGAGGGCAATGAAGAATGAGGTTCCCGTCTGTGTCCTGAGTCAAAGTCACAGAGTTCACAGTTTCTACTGTTACTGTGTCAGAATCCTCTTCAACTGTGCTCATACTCAAATCTGTAGAACAGATTTCAGATTTAAAACATTATTTACAAATACAAACAGAGTAGCCTCCAACTTCCCCTTCTTCCCCACCAAAACACCCCCCAATTTATATCCACTACAGTGTTCTTTATGTGAAACTGCAATGACAGTTCAGACTTCAAAAACTGTTTTTCAAAAGGTTATACCCACTATTTAGAGTGAGATGTAATAATCTCTAAGAATCTGACTTCTCTAATTAAAAACCTACAGCACTTATTTTTTAAATGGACTTGGTTTCACCACGTCCAGTGAAAATGACTATTCCAAGTTGTCTTATCCATAAAATATTATGTCTCATTAGCAAAACTCTCACCACTATTTACTGGCAATTTTGTGATATATTCAAATAGGTGTTTAACTTCTGATTCTTTCAGAAGATTCATTAAACCTTGTATCTTAGAAAATCTACAATAAATCTAATAATTATTTTTCTGAAACACTTCTTAGAAGTATTTAAGCTTTATTATTGTCTGAAAACTAAGAACACTGTGGAATTATCCCCACCATGTTTTTTTCCATGATATTAAATAAGCACATACATCCATCACTGACCAAATTACCTTTTTTTTTTTTAAAGATTTTATTTATTTGACAGAGACCACAAGTAGGCAGAGAGAGAGAGAGAGAGAGAAAGAGAGAGAGAGGAGGAAGCAGGCTCCCTGCTGAGCAGAGAGCCCGATGCAGGGCTTGATCCCAGGATCATGACCTGAGCCGAAAGCAGAGGCTTTAACCCACTGAGCCACCCAGGCGCCCCCCAAATTGCTTTTTTTTAATGGATATGGAGGTAAGTCATTTTTTGGAATAGAGAACTGATTTTGTTTAAAGTGCCTTGACTGCTATTTTACACATACATTATTTTCCTCTTGTTCACACAAACTGAATGATCAGTCTCACAATACAAATACTTCATGGCTGACAGGAGGAAATGGACTGAATTAAAATCAAGGGCCTGTTTGAAGTCTTTGGGGTTCATCTTATAATGCTCAACGAAGTTCTTCCCTCAACACTCAATTTTGGTCTTGTCCACCTACTTTTTACCAACTAACAGAGGCCATAAGCTTTAATGTATACTAATCACTCAGTATTTGGCTCCTATATACAACATCTTAGTCTGTTCACATTTTTGCCATTTATTCAAGTGTATTTTCCCTTGGCAGAAAAACTTAAAATCTATTGACATGCACATGGTGAAGATCCAATGATTCACTCAGATCTTACTCTACAAATTACTGTTTTAATGGACATCAATCATTTAACAATAATAAAGATGACATTTCCAAAATTAAAGATAAGTAGAACTCATGATCTAGTTAACACCAGAATTTGCAAAACACAGGTGAAGTCCTTGCAACAAAGGCAGGCTTACCTAGAAAATAGATGAATCAGGTATAGCCCTTCCCACAGAATCAAGTCGCTTTCCCTTAGACACCAGCATCACCTTCATGTTATCCAGACTGCTTCTCTCCCATATTCTTACCTCTGCAACACTCTGAAAAAGTAAAAGCGTTACACAATAAGGTTTAAATAAGAACACACAAATGTGTTCTGTCAATACACTCATGACACTCTAGCCTCAAACCTCTGTGATGTCTCAACTAGAAATGACAAAAACCAGAATTCTTTTCTAAATAGATTTCATTTTAGAAATCAAATCAGCCTCTGAAAGTATTCCCCAATGAAAGGCAGAAATGATGAGATCCTGTACTTATTTAGTTTATAGGCAGTTTCTCAACCCAAGCTGTCCCTCAACAGGCAAATATTCTCAGAAAAAAAAGAGGTTCAACTATGCTATTGGCTCTGTGAACTATAGACAGAGTATGTGTAACCTAGCCCCAGGTGTAGAGTACCACAAATACTACCAGGAAGTATATTTTTTTCTTTATATAACTTACTAACACCTCTTTATACATAATACTGTATTTCATCTTAAAGCATTAAAAACTGTGTATCTGTAAACAATCCTGTCTATGGATCTGTGGAAAAAAAGAAACCCTAAACAACTGAGCCAGAAAAGGTCAATTACAAGCAAGCTCTTGAATCCAATGTTGTTCTTATTTCTGAATCCATTAAATTTTCTTAAAAGGTTGGTTAGTAATACTTTACTGCAGAAGATGGAGAAATTCAATGTGAAAAAAAAAAAGTCATCCATAAACTTATCAAAAGCAGAGTTCACTCTCTTTGGTGTGTGTGTGTGTTTATAAATGTGTATACACTATAGTGTGTAAGCAATTTATATCCTGCTTTTTAGAGTTTATTCATATTAAAAAATATGATGAAACCAAACTAGGTATCTAACTGAAGTTTTCGGAATCACGTAAACTTAAACCTCATAAAAAACATGACATTATTTAATAATTGCCCTATCACTGGACATGTGCGCTGTTCCTGTTTTCATTTCCTTAAAACATACTCAAACATTTATATACTCTATTTCCTTACACAATATTAATTAGTGGAAATTACTACATAAAAGAATCTGACTTTTATGTAGTAAAAATTTAGAGCTTTTTTAAAAAAAGATTTTATTTATTTGGGAGAAAGAGAGAGAGGGTGCATGAACGAGAGCACAAGAGCAGGGTGAGAGGCAGAGGGAGAAGGAGACTCCCCACTGGGCAGGGAGCCAGATGAAGGCAGGATCCCAGGACCCTGGAAACATGACCTGAGCCAAAGGCTGCCGCTTAACTGACTGAGCCACCCAGGCATCCCAGAACTTGGAACTCTTAAGAAACACTGAGACAGGGAAACTGTAAGGGACCTCATGAAAAGAAAAAGTGGTTGTTTTTCTTTTGTTCTTTTTCGTGCTTCTAATTTTGCTAGGGCCTGTACCCCCACCTTATACAGGCCTTAATGTATGTACTCCTCGTAAAGGTCAAGGAGTTAATGATTTCTTTGAAGTCTTCCAGCACAACTGGTAACATCTAACTAAGGAGTGACCAGACGAGGTCCTCAGGAACATACTCCAAACACTGGGGACAAGACCCCAGGCTCCAGGGCCATTAAGTGACTTAAGGAGGACACCTGAGCACTAGTTGCTGTTTGACCAATTCCTGGATACCTGAGAGGACATGTACACCAGACCACTGCCCTTAATAACAACTCCAGACTGGCAAACAAAGATGAGACTTTTGCCCGTTTTCCTTTGAGTCTCCCTTTCCAGAAAAGTTGATTGAATTTATATCCAAGCCACTAAGGTAGAAACTCTATTCTTGGCAACCTTTTTTTTTTTTTTTTTTTTTTAAGAGAAAGCACGAAGCAAAAAAAAACAGCACAAGAGTTCATTTGATAGGTGCAAAGTAGTCAATGGTCTAGTGTTTTGATCAATTTCATCAGGACCCAAATTAGTCTAAATCTAAGAAAAAATAAAGGTAGATTTAAGATAATATAGAGATATGGTAAAATAATACCAGAAAAAAGGAGTCCGAAATGGCTAGTTGAAATAAAGTATTTAATTCTTGACAACCTTTGATTATAGGTAATCCTAGGCAGTGTACTAGCTTTAAATCAGAAATCTAGGTTCATTTTTAAAAATTTGGCAACTGAGGTTTGAGCTTAGTAAATGGTTCTAAGGTGATTTGCAAATTAACAAGCATATCTGTTCCATCAACAAATATTTATCCCTTACCTACAATGTATTAGGCACTCTCCAGGCACTGGGGATACAGTGGCCACTTCTTTTTTATTAACTGTCTCTAGCTATGGTCTTGACTCACTTTCCTGAGGCCTCTCCCACTCTCCACTGTAGTTAGAACTAGGAGGTCAGTGTTATTTATTAATATGTAAGAAACTAATCTGGTTTTACTTGAAATTTATCTTTAATAGGTAACACATTTACATACTTCAAAATTCAAAAGATAAAGGTGGTTATACAGGGAAGTCTGCTTCCTGCTCCAATTCCCTAGTCACCCGGTCCCCTATAAGTAAACTCTATAAGTAAATTTCTGTAAGTTTATAGTGAACTCTTTAAGTAAGTAAACTCTTCTATAAGTAAATTCTTATCAATTTCTCAAGCTTCCTTTCAGTTATTTTATGCATATGTAAGTCAACATAGCCCTTCCTGCTACACATACTCTTTACAGAAATAGTATCATACTATCAACACTGAACAGTACCTTAATGGCTACTTTCCAGGGCTTCAGCAAGATGAGGAGACACCACTACAAGAATGTGATTGAAAGCTGATTAGTAATAGCAAAGTCCCTAAAGTGGAGCCTGCTATGGCCTGTTGCAGGGCAAACAAAAACAGAAACAAAAACACAAAACCCCCAAAACCCAGCAGCCAGTATGGCAGAGGCTTTCCATAATGAAGAGTAGCTGAATTTAAGGTTGGAGATAAAGACAGGGGTAGATCTCCCACAGCCTTCCAAATCCTTGGGCGGTTTTCAGTTGGGGAATATAATTTACATTTTTAAAAGATCACTTAGACTGCAGAATGGAGAGTGGATAAGCAAGTTATGAAGACAAGCTGTTGTCTAAGAGAGGACTCTTGTTGGACTGCTGACAGCAGGCAAAGGAAGGAGACTAAACAAAGGATATATTCTGGAGGCTGTGTTGACAGGATCCGCTCAATGAAGAGATGATGGAAATTAAGGAAAGGGGAACTATCTCAAGCCCACTCCTAGGCTTTAGGCTTGAACAGCTGATTGAGTTTGGGGGCACTCAGATGTGTATTATGTATTTTTATTACTATTAGTAGGAATAATTAACATTATAAGGTATTCAAATGAAGATATCACATTGACTGTTGGAAGCTGCAATTCAACAAGGATTAGACATATCAGACAAATGAGTTAGTGTCATGCAAATACATTTTTTAAGGATTTATTCATTTATTTTGGTGGGGGAAAGGCAAAGGGAAAGGGAAACCAAGTATCAAGGAGATTCTGACCTGAGTGCAGAGCCTAAGGCAGGGCTCAAGTACAACCCTGAGCTGAAAGGACTTAACCCACTGCACCACCCAGGCACCCCCCGCAAATAATTTTTAAAACATAGTATCATCCAGAGAGCTTAGGTAAAACAGCTTAGATTCTAGTTCCAGAGCACCCTTTAACAGGTGGAAATCAAGCTATATATAAGCAAGCAAAGGAGAATGAAAAGGACCAGCTAGTGATGGAGAAGGAAAACTAAGGTGTTAAGACACACAGAGTGTTTTTCAAGGAGCATTAAGTAGTCAACCATGGCAAGAGAGAAGATCATGGAGACGTGACTATCTGCATCTGTCAATACGGAGAATGTTGGTGGCCTTAACAAAAGTATCTGAGGTATAATGGGGACAGCAGCCCTACTGGAATATGTAGAGAATTCAAGGTAGGAGACAAGACAAACAGGTCTTTTATGAGGTTTAGCTTTCAGGGCAAGTGAGAGTACTAGGTACAGTAATGTCTAGAAAGCTGTTATTTAGAAAAGCACATCTATACTGTATTCTGATAGGACTATGAGAGTATTTGAGAAATGTTGATGAATAAACTTGTGATAGTAAGGTACAAAGCTGAGTATTTTAGTGCCTTCCATTCTAATTCATTATATATGAAACTATGTTTAACTTCTGGACCTGTTCCTTATTTGGTTTATAGGGGAAACGTATCAGAAAGATATCTTCCCTTCATTCTCTGTAAAGGGTTATATCGTGTGTACTATTTTTATACTAACTAGAAACGAGAAGAGGAAAAAAATTTTAACAGCCATCTTAACTGGTGAAATGGCTTTTTAGCAAGTTTCCATCCATCATTTGGTGGGTCTCTTAAATAGCAACAGTATAGTAATAAAATCAAGAGAACATGTGAAATGCAGTATAAAACATTTATAATGAAAAATGTATTTGTGTTCATTGAGAGCTCCAATGAACGAGAACCCTATTTAACGTAGAACGAAAGAACAACTCTGGATCTGGTACTTAATACAGAATTTAATTAAAGAAACGAATCCTTCATCCTGCTTCACTCCAGTATTGATGTAAAGTTCACTTTCAATGGATTATTTTAGGACTGGTATTTCCATCCACTAAAACTACACAGAGGCCTAACTCATTTTATTATACATTAAGTTTAATACAATGAAGGTTTATGGTAAACCTCTGTTAAACAAGTCTATTGGTACTACCAATAACATTTGCTCATTTTGCATCTGTGTCACATTTTGATAACTCTCACACTATTTACAATTTTTTCATTATTACAGCTCACGCTTGAACAACACAGGTTTGAACTGCATGTGTCCACTTACATGTGGACTTTTTACAATACAGTACTGTAGATGTGTTTTCTTCCATTTTTCTATTGTAGGAATATAGTATATGATACATAAAACATACAAAATACGTGTTAATTGACTGTTAGTGGTAAGGCTTTTGGTTAATAGTAGGCTATTAGTTTTTTGGGGAGTCAAAAGTTATACAGGGATTTTCAACTCCCCAGGGGGCCATCTCCCCTAAGCACCCAACACCTGTATATCGGTTGTGGTGATTTGTGGTGATTAAGACTAGCTGAAAACTCA